CTCATTAGATGCAGAAAAAGCTTATGATAAAATCCAGCATCTCTTCTTGATAAAAACCCCCAAACACCTAGGTATAGAAGGAACATATCTCAAAATAGTAAGTGCCATCTACAACAACCCACAGCTAACTAACATATTGCTAAATGGACAGAAACTAGAATCATTTCCCCTGAAAACTGGAACAAGACAAGGCTGCCCACTTTCACCCCTCTTGCTCAATATTGTGTTGGAAGTCCTAGCTCAGGCAATTAGACAAGAGAAGGAAATCAGGGGTATCTAAATAGGAAAAGAGGAAGTCGAGTTATCCCTCTTTGCTGACGATATGATCCGATACCTTGAAAATCCAAGAGAATCTGTCAAAAACCTGCTTGCACTGACAAAAGACTTTGGCAAAGTCTCAGGGTACAAAATAAATGTGCAAAAGACAGTTGCATTCCTATACACCAACAACAAGCAGGCAGAGATTCAAATAAAAAGCACAATCCCATTCACAATAGCCACCAAAAAAATGAAATACCTCGGCATCTTCCTAACCAGAGAAGTGAAAGACATTTGCAATGAGAATTACAAAACACTGCTTAAAGAAATCCAAGAAGACACAAACAAATGGAAAAATATTCCATGCTCATTGATAGGAAGAATCAACATTGTTAAGATGCCCATCCTACCAAAGGTAATCTATATATTCAACGCAATACCCATTAAGTTACCAACATCATTCTTCTCGGACCTGGAAATGACAATACAAAAATTCATATGGAAACATAAACGACTACGAATAACCAAAACAATCCTTAGCAAAAGAAACAAAGCAGGAGCTATCACACTTCCAGACTTCAAGCTTTACTATAAAGCTACAGTAATCAAAACAGCCTGGTATTGGTACAAGAACAGGCACATAGACCAATGGAACAGGATAGAGATTCCGGAAGCAAAGCCTCAATTCCTCAATCAATTCATCTGTGACAAAGCCCCCAACAACAACCACTGGGGAGAGGAGAACCTATTCAGTAAATGGTGCTGGGAAAACTGGCTGACCTCATGCAGAAGATTGAAACAGGACCCCTACCTATCACCATACACAAAAATTAACTCTAAATGGATCAAAGACTTAAACACAAAACCTCAAACTATCAGAATCTTAGAAGATGCAGGAGACACCCCTATGGAAATTGGAACTGGCAACCAATTTCTATTCAGAACCCTAAAGGCCAATACCTTAAGAAATAAGATAGACAAGTGGGACCTTATCAGACTAACAAGCTTCGACAAAGCAAATGAAACCATCAAGAGAGCAGGGAGACAGCCCATGGAATGGGAAAAAATATTTGCTAACTGTATATCTGACAAAGGCCTAACATCCAGGATCTACAAAGAACTCAAATGCGCCGAAAGGAAAAATACAATCAGCCCCTTTAAAAAGTGGGTAAAAGACATGAATAGAACGTCTCAGAGGAAGATATACAGACAGCCAACAGACACATGAAAAAGTGCTCAGCTTCACTCATCATCAGAGAAATGCAAATCAAAACCACATTGAGATACCACCTAACCCTAATAAGAATGGCCATCATTAATAAAACAAAAAACAACAGATGCTGGTGAGGATGTGGAGAAAAAGGAACGCTTCTACACTGCTGAATGCACACTAGTACAACCTCTTTGGAAGATAGTGTGGCGATTTCTGAAAGAACTAGAAATTGACCTTCCGTATGACCCAGCAATTCCCCTATTGGGAATATACCCGGAGGAACTCAAATCATTCTACAAAAAAGATACCTGCACATATATGTTTGTTGCAGCTCTATCCACAATAGCAAAAACATGGGACAAACCGTGTTGCCCATTGAAGCTGGATTGGATTAAAAAAATGTTGTACATATACACAATGGAATATTATGCAGCCATTAAGAAGGACAAATATATGGACTTTGCAACAACTTGGATGGATTTGGAGTTGATCATACTCAGTGACTTATCACAGAAACAAAGAAAAGAGTTCCATATGTTCTCACTCATAAGGTGACCTTGAACAATCATAATGCTATAAGAAAGCGATTGGCAGTAGTGGGAAACTGGTAGGGGAGGGAGGGACATATCTCATCAACAAGGTACATAATCAGTGTTTATGTACCCAACCCTGAAATGTACCCCACATCTTTATAATAAAAATTAAAAAAAAAAAGTTACTGCAACCCTGTGAGGTCTGTATTACTATTTTCAGCTTACAGATGTTTGTTTAGATTACTTGCTACACATATTGGCAACTACTGTGGCTAAGTTTGATTGCATGCTTATTATGTGCCAGACGCTTTACATATCTTGTAATCCTTACAACAACAATGGAAAGTATATACTATTATTACTCCCATTTTCTGGATTAGAAAACCAAGGTCTGGAAAAGTCCAGTAACTTGCCCAAAGTCATACAACCAAAAAAAAGGTGGGAAACAAGGTACAAACCCAGGCAATCTGTTTCCAGAGCTCAGAATCTTAACTACCATGATGAACAGACTCTAGAGTTTACACACTAACATAATAACCAGGAAAAGAAGCATAGGAGAAAAAGGAGAGAAAAGATACACTTACAAAGCCTTAGAGGCTACTATTTAAAAGGAGACAAGAACGAGGAGGACAGGAGGAAAAAGTTAATCTGGACAGGGGGATTCGAATGTTTTTTTAAGAGATGGGAAAAACTTGACAGACAAGTTTAATAATAATAAAGATGAAAATAACATAAGACTTACTACTGCAGGTGCTTTATATATAAGGGCAATCCCGGAAAAAACAAAACAAAACAATGGAATTATCTTTTGAAAGGGGGCCCTTTGTAGTAAACCTTTCCCTGTTCGGTAAGTGTTATAGGAACCCATCCCATCATCATCAGTGTACCAGCTAGCATTGTTGTGAGAAGCTGTGTTTGGCTTTAGTGATTTTTTTTGGAGATTCTTTCAATGTGTTTGCCCATTTCAAGATGGGTGATTTATGAGTGTACCTGCCCACACCACCTGGAGTGTTCAGGACTTTGGACTCAAAACGGCATCATCCCTTTGTCCCACTGTTCACCCACTGTCACTCTGAGTGACTTTTTTGTTTTCCCAGATGAAAAAAGTTCCCAAAGGAAAACTTTTGCTGATGTGTAAGAGGTGAAACAAAAAAAATGACAGAAGCATTAAAAGGGATCAAAATTGACGAGTTCAAAAACTGTTTTGAGCAATGGAAAAAGTGTCTCAATAGGTGTGTTACATCAAACGAAGAGTACTTTGAAGGTGACTGAAGTTTAAACATGTAAGAATAAATGCATAATTTTTAATAAATAAAGTTTGTTTTGGGGGAGTTTCCTTCCTCATATATTATCTCACTGAATTTTCAGAATAATCCTTTTGTCTCTTTTACTGAAGTCTCAGGATGTAGCACATAGTACTCAATACATATTTATTGAACAAACCTTGAAAGGTAACTATATAGTTTTACTTTTATATGTAAAATAAAATTACTTTTACTTTACTCCAGATCTTAGGATTAAAGTCTAAGGGAATCAGTTACTTTGTCCCTGGTTGTTTGGTGACTTCACAGCATTTATTTCTGACTGCAATTATCTTGTTCCTTCTTTGCTTGATTGTTACCTGCATGTAAACTAAATTCAGGAGCACAGAAGCCTCACTCACCTTGCTTAATGCTGTCCTCATAGCATCTAGGACAATGCCTAGGGTGTAACAGGTGATTAGTAAATATCTGCTGTTTGAAAAAGAAGAGAACCCAGTATTTCGGCCTTTCCGAACAACTCTTTTCTCATCATAGCACATTGAATTACTGAGCAGAGAGGTCAGTTGCTCGTCTTTCTCTTTGTGCCCACTTTCAAGCAGCATCTGTCACTTTCTCCATCAGTGACTCAACCATCCATTTGCTTGGTTGTGGAGCAAGGAAGAAAAGTTTTTTGTTTGGTTTGTTTTCAAAATAAACAGATCATTACAAAGGTGATCAAATTATCCCTATATAAAAACAGCTCTTCCGCCTCACACTCATGAGGACGACTACTATTAAAGAAAGTAGAAAATAAAAAGTGATCACGAAGATGTGGAGGAACTGGAACCCTGGGCCATTGTTGGTGGAAATGTACAATGGGATCACCACTATAGAAAACATCATAGTGATTTTTAAAAAATTAAAAATAGAATTCCATATGACACAGCAATCCCCCTTCCTGGGTACAGACCCAAAAGAATTTAAAACAGGGTCTTGAGCAAATACTTGTACATCCATATGAAAAGAAACATTATTCACAATAGCCAAAATATGGAAGCAACCCAAGTGTTATCAATAAATGAATGGATAAACAAAAAATAGTATATATGTGGGGAGACCCCTCAAAACCCAGAATTTATTTATTAAAAATTGTGTATTTATTCTTTCATGTTTAAACTTCAGACACCTTCAAAGTATTCTGTTTGATGTAATATACCCATTGAGATGCTTTTTCCAATGCTCAGAACAGTTTTTGAATTCATCAATTTTGATGCCTTTTAGTGCTTCTGCTGTTTTTAAATTTACCTCTTCTACATCAGAAAACATTTTCCTTTGAGGACTTTTTTCATCTGGGGAAACAAAAAAGTCACTCAGGGTAAGATCAGGTGAATAGGGAGGGTGGGGCACAGGTATGCTCATAAATCACCCATCAAGAAATAAGCCAACACATTAAAAGAATCTCAAAAAAAAATTTTTATTGAAGCTGAACGCAGCCTCTCACAATGACACTAGCTAGTATATTGATGCCAGTTGGTCCCTAGAATACTTACCTAGTGGGGAAAGCCTGTAGGAGCCCGTGCTTCAAAAGATAATCCTGGTTTTTTGGGTCTCCCTCCTTGTATATACATAAGCATTTTACAAAAATCTCTGCAGAGATGTAGGACCTCAGAGCTTGTGATGTTTACAGAGTCAGGCTGATCAGACCAGGCTGTGACTTACAGCAGCTCTCTGAAGTGAAGCCCCTGTGACACTCACCTGTCCACACGGAGCTGGCAGACAATGCTTAATGCATCCACAACTCCCTCTTCTTTCAACTGTCGACAGCCAATGGATGTAGCAATAAAACACCCCGTTCTACCTATTCCTGCACTGAAAAAGAAAAGAAGAAAAGGTATAAAAAGATAAAGAAAAATGACAAAGATAAAATACATTATTTTAAGAGGGTGCATTAAAATCTGATACAACAGTTAATAAGAAGAACAGCACTCCTGTATTGAGTATGATAGACCTGGCCCTATGCTAATACTTAAAATATGTTTTCATTTAGCTATAAGGAGTAAGATGAGAAGGGTGGAGGGAGGTGATGGGTGAGAAGAATAGTAAAAAGGTATGACAATTATTCCAGAAAAAAATAATCAGGGTCTGAACCTAAGTAAGGTATGGGCAGTGGAAGGAGGGGGGAGATTTAGACACATCACAATGTGAATCTGGAAAATTACAATTGAAGAGTGAGAAAAGCAAAATGTCAAAGATGACTAGGCCTAGAGGGTGGGTAGAATGTTGGCATCACCAAGGCAAAAGGGAATCCTTGAATAGGCTTGAAGGAGGGAGGCGGGGAGAGGGGAGTTTAGTCTTGGACATACTGATGTTAAGAAATCTAGTGAATAATTGAAGATTTGATAGAGTTTGGGTGAGAAGATTTGACTAGAGGCTTATATTTCAAAGTCATTTGTATAGAGGTGATAATTTTTTTTAAAGTTAGGGTCTCATCCTGTTGCCCAGGAGTGCAGTGGCACAATCACTGCTCACTGCAGTCTGACCTCCTGGGCTCAAGCTATCCTTCCTCCTCAGCCTTCTGGGTAGCTGAAATTATAGGCATATGCCACCATATCCAGATAACTTTTTGACTTTTTGGTAAAGATGAGGTCATGTTTTGTTGTCTAGGCTGTTCTTGCACTCCTGGGCTCCCAAAGTACTGGGATTACAGGCATGAGCCACCACGCCCAGTCGAAATGATAATTGAATAGAAACACTGTTCTGGAGGGGTTATCTTAGACACCTGCCTTGGGCAGTATGTCCATAAAATCAGCCCAACAAGCCCTCTCTTTGCAATTTCAACTACTAACAGTCTTTATATAAATTTTTCTCAACTCTACATCTAAACTTTCTAAATTTCCTGAACTCTAGATTGTCATTCCCTCTCCTAGCTACTATTTTGTACTTGTTTCAGTTCAATGTATTGAAATTCAATGTATCTAAAGCAGAATTATCTTTTCCCTCAATGGCATTACAAGTAAGCCACAAGTTTTCCAGTCTAGAAATCTTGAAGCCATCTTCAACATCTCCCCTCTCTCACCTCCCACATACAATCTGTTATCACTTCTTCTATTTTCTGTCTTTGTTGAGCTTATGCGATCCATGCTTTCCTTTCTATAGACTGTACTCACGTTTTCAACAGCTCTTTCTTTCATGATTAGCAGTGATCTCATTATGGTTTCCAAGCCTCCAGTCTTTTCTTGGACCAATTCATGATACACACAGCTGCTAGGTTCATCTTTCTGAAATAGGGACTTAATTATATCACTCCCTACTCAAAACCTGTAGATGGCTCCTACTAGTTATAGCATAATGTCTAACCTTTCTACCACGGTATTTACGACCTTACAAAATTTGAATGTGGCTAACTTTCAAGTCTTATGTCTTTTTGCTGTCTTCCTTGTACTTTATGTGCCATTGTTCTCATTTATGTGAACCATTGCAAAAAATGCCAATCATTTTCCAATTTTCCTTTCCGTGTTAATGACTTTTTTTTTGAGTCTTAGTCTTATTCTTAGTCTTTTGAGTCTTAGTCTTATTCGCTTGAGTGCAGTGGCAAGATCATGGCTCACCACAGCCCTGATCTCATGGGCTCAGGTAATGCTTCTAACTCAGCTTTCAGAGTAGCTGAGACTACAGGTGCAAGCCACCATACCTAGATAAATTTTTATTTAAGTTTTTTATTTTTGTAGAGATGAGGTCTTTCTACCATGTCAGACCCAGGCTGGTCTTGAACTCCTGGGCTCAATCAATCCTCAACTTTGGCTTCCCAAAGTGCTGATATTATAGGCATGAGCCACTGTGCCAGACTTTAATGATATTTTCTTAGTCAGAAATACTTTCCCTACCACCTTTCAAAACCACAAACACTGATCATTTTTCAAGACCTAGTTCAACATAATTCAAATTTTTATTCCAGAGACTTTCTTTGATTCCCATGATTGGAATTAATTGCTCCCCTCTTGGCACTTAAATAGCTTTTATTTCTCATATTTGGCAATTATTTCCTGTTGAATGTGAGTCCTGAGGCTTTTGGAGGAGGAATGGGGCACTTTTAGTCAAAGTAGCTATAGAGAGTTTGTTTCATTGAAGAAATAGGATTTGAACTGTACCCTATGAATGACAGGCATTTTGGCTACTATAAATGAGAGAGACTATTTCAGGAACAACAATGGTATAAGGAAAGAATTGATGAGGAACAGGAGATATGATTTGTGACAATAAGTAGATTAGCTTGTTTTGAAGAGAAAATTATTTTAGTGGAACAAAAGGAAATAAGACTGTGAAGGTGCTCTGGGATCTTATATGAAAGACTAAGAGATTGGACTTCATCTTTTATGCTTTCTTTCTTGCTTTTAATAGATTTTATGAAAACTGAACTTTCACTCCCCAGAAAAATTCACGTAAGATTATATACTCAAATCTGCTCCAATAATTTCAAGGAGTTCACTGAGTTCTGTAGCTGATCCATAGATTCAATAATAGGAATTTTTCTCTAAGCAACATGAAGCCATTGATGTTTTTAGCAAGGATTTCATGTAATTAAAGATGGTTTTGGGAACTCCGTCCAAGACAAGGACACAGGATAGGTCATGGTGGGAATGGGGGCAACAGGGAGCAGGGTATGTGTGTGTAATTAGCTCACTACTTCTAAAATACATGGTGAGGTCATGAGGGCCTGAACTATGATGGTTGGACAGGAAGTGGCGATTATGGCAGAAGCTTTGAAGGGAAAGCTAATCTGGTAACTGATTAGATACTGAGGATGGAATTGAAAGAAGGGCCAGAGATAACTGTCAACATGGGATGCTGAATAACTGGAAAAAAGATGGTCTCATTCTTAGAAACAGTAATCAGAAGAGTAGCTAGTTTTATAGAGGAAGAGGCTAGTTCAAGTTAGATATCCTGAGTGTTTAATGATTTTGGGTGGGGGACAATTCCACCCTGAAGCATAGCCAGTTAGGTTGCTTTTTTTTTTTTTTTTTTTGATTCCAAGCTAAGTTTAGGATAAAGACAATGTTATCTACCTTTGGATATATAAACACATACTAAATTTTACTCTTAATTGAATCACAAAGTTTCAAAAGAGAATGAGGCTAAAATTATATTCTAAAAATAATATATTTTATTTATTAACGATGTTATTAAAGGCTATCTTAAGAGACTTATGAGGCTAAACAAAACAACACAAATTATTTTGAGAAAGAACAAAGACTAAATAGTTGAAATTATAAATGACTTTAAAAATGCTTGCTTTAGTTTGGTCATACTATAAGGAAAACAAGAGGAAGGAGGTATCAGTTACAGAGGAGAGTGTTATGCTTGCAAATTAGCGAAAGGAATCACCATGGACATCTGCTGCTGTTGTTGGCCTGGCCTCCAGCACCCCATATTCTGGTAACAGCACTTTGTTTTCCTTTGGCAAACTACCCTTTGCCCATTTCTCATTTCATAAATTTGTTTCCATCTGTTCTTCATGAGATAACTCTTAAAATAAATTGACTGCTCTTCATCAAATTTGAAATAATCACAAGACTTCCAAGATACAATCCAAGTAGAACCAGGCACCATCTTGAAACAACAAAAACTCCAAGCAAAATTTCAAGAAACACAACTTAACTCCAAGTGTGTATGAGACTGATGAGATAAATGAATCAATGTAAGTTTGAAGATAGATGACCGAATAAAGCCTCTTGCTCACTGAGCCATTTACTTAGCTTGTCCACTGTTTGTTGTTTGTTGAAAATGCCCTGAAAGTGTGACTTCATTTCTGTAAGCATAATCTTGATTAAGACTCAAATAAGGGGAAGTTGATCAATTTTTATACATATTTTATTTACCAACAAAGTCACATCCAGGCAGCAAAACCCTACTTTCACCAGTTCTGTGACTTTACAAAGAATGGGCTGTTGCTTAGACAAAATGGACAGTTCATGTCTTACCTGCAGTGGACAACTACAGGCCCTCGGCCCTGGGAAGCAAGTCTGTCTTCTTCTACATCCAGCATGAGCTGCAGGAGGGGTTGGGCACTGTCTGGAGTCTTGTGATCGGGCCAGGAGGTGTACCAGTAATGTTTCACATGTTGGGTGTGACTTCCTTGCTGAAAATAGCAACAACCACCAAATGTCTCATTCACTTGTGGAACTAAAAGTCATCTAAACCACAATACTGAATGTCTTCTATCACTCCCATCTTGTTGGTAACTTATTTCTAGGTGGAAAAAAAACCCTAGAAGATTTTTTGAAGAATACCGTTTCACCTTGAGAAAACTTGACTGTCAATATCCTGATCTCAAAGTTTGACAGCTCTGCCTCTGTTAAGTGAGATCTATATCTATATTTGTAACACAGATAAGGTATATAACATATACTAAATATATGTTTGCCATTTGTTATAATAAACAAATGGTAGGTGAAAATGTAGCCAAGAATGAATGAGATGTATTATGTTTCTTTCTCTTTGAACATTCCTGACAGGTCATTATAAGCATATTAATCAGGTGATATGGGGACCAAAGTGAGGCTCAAACTTTCCTTGTATAATGATCATTTGTACACCTAACTCTGAATTGTACCCCACATCTTGAAAATAAAAAATCGAAAAAAGTATATTAGTCAGAAGAAGAGCACTTAATTTTTTATCATTCATGCTAATACTTCTGTACTTATTCCAAATTCCAGTATTTAACAGCAGCGAGGAGTCCCAGCAGTAAAGGAGCTACAAGGCATCCCCAGATTAGAAATACTTTGAGCGAGGGCCCACGCACATCATCTCAAAACTTAGTGCCCAGACTGGCGTAGATGAGGCACTTGAGAACACGTGTTGAAAAACAGATTTTGATAAGTGCCTTCCTATCCCAAACTGCCAAATAAAAACCGTCACTGCCACTCTGCCTCCATTCTTTTCCTCTTTGTGATGATTCTGGCTCAGCAGCAAGGCTGCAGATAAGACTGAAATCTCTGGGTGATTATTCTCAAAAAGCAAAAATTATACCATGGTAAAATTCCTCAGGATCTGCTGCTCATGAGTTAAATAAGATAATTTTTCTATGACATAATCTGGTCTGGGGAAAGTCCCTATAAATTACTGTAACTCCAAGTTTCTGAAGATCTCATCAACACTTCAGGCTTGTCTTGCCTCCCACAGCCACCCACTAGTGCAGATTTTCTCTTTTAGCTTCTAGGCCTTCCTTAAAGCTGCTTAGACCAAAATGAAATTAAAAAAAAAATCATGATGAAGTCTCCAGCATGGATTTTAGTTAAAGGCTTTCAAAATGTTAGACCAGAGATGTATTAATATAAATTAGAAGATCACAACATCCTACATAATGAGTTTCCTTAAAGTCTACTTACATTAATTTAATGATTTCCCATACTAATAGTAGCTGACAACAAAGAAGTACACCAGGGAATGATTATACTTTCTCTTTGATCTTAATATTATTTAATTTTCTTAAATTGAATTTGTAGTACTTATTAGGATAAATAATTCCAAAGTAGAAATGTAATCCTTTAATATTATTGACTTTGTAGATGGCTCTAGTTACATAATCTTACCTTTAAGACAAGGTTTCGAACAGTGTAGTTATTACATTCATTTACACTGATCACCAGAACTTCAACTTTTCCATATATCCCTCTCTTTTCTGGCCAGTATAGCACACATTTCTGGGGGGCGGGAGGGGAAAAAAGAACACAACAAATGTTAGTGACACACATCAACCTTGGAATATTTTTCATTCAAGCATCTCAAGAGTTTTCATATTATAAATTAAAAAATTTAAATATCAATTTTTATAATTCTACAAATATCCTAAAACCACTGAACAGTACATTTTAAACAGGTGAATTTTATGTTTTGTAAATTATATCTCAATGAAGTTATTTTTAAAAGAAGTATCCATTTTTACATGTGCCTCCCAAACATTGTTGCTACTAAGCCCATACCAAAAATAATAATAATCAGGGCAAACCACTGTGTTTAATAAGAGTCTCTGTAATACATTAGATGCCAGAGAACGAGGTCTCCCATGTATGTAAGGCAGAGAACCTGGGTCCAAATTTTGGTTCTACTACTCATTGGCTGTGAATCCATGAGCAAGATACTTCAACTCTCTGATTCTAGTTTCCTCATTATTTATGACATGGAAAGTACTTGGGATAAAGCTAGGTATACACAAGCACTTAGCACATGTTATTATTATTGCTGTTGTTCTTTTAAAACTACTGGGTAATAGATTTTTGATCCAAAGTAATGAGATTTTCCTACATTAAATATTATTTTATTATTATTACATCCAGGCATCATTATTTTTTTTAAAAACTGCAAAATGAGATTCAAGCATGCATATAAGCTCATTTACTTTTTAAACAACTTCAAGATAATTATTAATTTTTGATCACATATTTTAATGATGAAAAATATAAAGTACCAAAGTTGCTGCTTTATTTTGAGAGCTCCTGGAAGCAATGTTAATTTTAGGAATGTTTAAATAGCACTTATCATTTTCTCCCAAACACCCATACACATTTATATAGAAATTCTTTCATTTGTTGCCTTCAATCAGAACATTTTAATACCCAGGACACTTGTTTCTTTGCATCCCTGTCAAAGGCATACAAACAACACTTAATTTTTTTTTAAACACATAGATTTAAATGAGCAGCAAAGGAATTACAGAATTACAGAACTGAAGGAAAAGGCACATAAAGTATCAGAAACACACCTTCAGGGCTCTTTCGTGCTGAGTGCCATGTACTCTACATGTTAAAGCAGTGAAGGACGTCACTTCACCTCGTGGAATCAGTTTCTGCCATCCATTACAACAAAAACACATTTACATCCTCAACGTTTTGACACTTTCCCAAGCCAAGTAAACTGTTTCGGCTTTATTTGCACGCCACCCAAGATTGTCAGGCAATAAGACTGAAAAAGGCTTACACTGGCTGACTTAACATTAAGAAAAGTGACCTTTTAAAAAAATAGAGTCACTTATTTCCCTCCAAATCTATGAGTTGCCAAATGTTTAAAATTTCCCCAGTTTATTAAAAGTAATCATACTAACCAATTTTGCCTGGTTTCTTTCAGTGGAGCATCAATTATTTTGCTGCAGGACCCGAACTACTGTGTATCTTAAAACCCATGCCTCCTGGATGAATCCAAGAAGAATGACAAAGAATCTTGAAAGAGGCATTGAACAAAGAAAGAGGTATTCAGCGGTCCAGCAGTCTGGCGAACATGCCCCATTATCCATGGTCAGACCTGAGCAGCAGGCCTCTCTTTTGGAAGGTGGCTCTCAAAACCAGTAGGAAGAGCTGCAAGACAGAAACTCGCAGCCTGCACCCTGGCTTCTGCACCTACTTGATAAGTAGAAGCACTGCTTGCTTCTCTACCAAGCTTGCCGGGGCCCTCTTGAATGTTTTTCTTGACTTTATACCAAAAAAGCAATTGGCAGCAGGCTCCCAGTAGACAATGCAATGTGACTTGTTCATTCAAACAACCCTTAATTAGCATCCCATTTTCTTTCTGAGATACAACAGTTTATTTTTACACATTGAATACATCCCCCCCACCCTTTAGAAGAAAGTAGAAAAAGGGACCAGATAAGTGTGGGAGCTTTTGAATATGAGGTGGGGGAAGCTGCTTATGTAGTTGTTTCTAAGAGTATAAGTTCATGTTCAAATTATTTTCCTGAACAGTTTTTTTGGGTTTCTTTATTGTGGTGCTAACAATGATATGAAAGAGGCAGAAAATGCAAGGCAGAAAAGTGCTGTCTTACAGATAATATTGTGAAACCACACTAAATGTAGGTAACTCAAAATAGCATGCTATCTAGCAGAATATAACCCCAAATCATCACTATTCTTTTGTTGAGTGGGCTGATACTTTCAGTAAAATTATCTATTAATTCCAAGAATCCATAATTTGGAGGAAAAAAGGTTTCCAGAGGACTGTGTGTCTTGTGCAAACGAGTAATTATCGAACCCCGACTGAGAAGATTCTGGCCATTAACCAGTTCTTTGTATCAGTGGCTCATAGCAAAAGTAGAATGCAATGCAAAGCAATGCAAATTCATACATCGATGGTATTTCTTTTCTTTGACTCTCCCTTCTGGCCTCCATCAAGTCAGGACTATTTGTGCTTAAAGAAGAAAGAAGCCTAGCTCATAGTTTAGTTGCCTGGAAAAAGTTATTTTCTTTTTAGTATCTATACATTTAAAATCAAAGAGATATTGCTCTATGAGCTAAAGATCTATATTATCACATAGAAAGTGGCTCTAAAAAAAGAAAAAAAAGATGCTCAGTTTCATTTGGTGTACACTAACATATAAGAGAGGGATAGAATGGGTCAGATTGTTTAAAATTATTGCTATTATTATTTAAGAGACAGGCTCTTGCTTTGTTGCCCAAATTATTTCTAAGTTATAGTTATGTCTTCGACCTCATCTCCTACCACTCTGTCCTCTGAACACTTGGCTTTGGTCACACTGGCCTCCTTGTCCTTCCTCAAACACACTGGGAGATGCAAGATGTTTTCATTAGCTTTCTTCTACCTTATGCCAGATCTGTGCTTGACTGATTTCCTCATCTGCTTTGATCAAAGATGCCCACATTCACCACCTGATTTGATATTGCAGACTTCCTCCTATTGCTGTTATCCTGCCCTATGTTTTCTTTTTTCCTACAGTATGTATCAGTGATACTAAGATAAGTATACAACAGATATACATATGTAGTACATTAAATACAGTATTATTTAGTATACTGATATTTTTTATTTTATTTCTTATTTATTGTGTTTCTCTCTTTTAGATGGTGAACTTCATGAAGGGAAGGATCTTTGTTGGTTTTGTCAATAAAGATATAATCCAAGCATCTGCTACATTAGTACTTGATAGCAATTAGTTGATAAATGATCATTGAATGAATGAATAAATTAATACAAACACATACAGCATAGAATATTTTATAAAGAGAAACTTAATGTCCTCAGAGGTAGCTAGAGAATTCCAGATACTGAAGATGTTGGTACAATTGGATATATATCAGGAAGACAAACTGGGAATATGTTCTTTCAAAAGGTCACATCATTTGACCAGGCAATTTTACACGTAGAACTATATCTTAAAGAAATAATCAGAGATGTGGACAAAATTGGAAATAATCTAAGCATCGATCGACAAGGAAACCATTTACATACATTTTAGTGCATTCACACAAAGAAATTCCAGTAATTTAAAATAATGTTTTGATGAATTATAATGACATGGAGAATGCTCATGATACAATGTTAAAAGCAGAATATATAACACAATACAAACTCTCTTTTATTCTTTTTATATCCATTCTGTACTTTCCCATGACTTCAGCTACCCCCTTCTGATCTGTCTCTCACCTGGACATTTCTCCAGAGCTCTAAACTCTTATTATTAACTGCTTAATAGACTTTACCATTCAAAAGTCTCCAGGATTACTCAAACTTAACATGTTAAACATTAAACTCATTTTCTTCTCTCACAACTCTTCCCTTGCTGTCCCCAACCCCATCTAGGTTCATGACATCACCATCCACTCAGTCTGCCAAACTAGAAATCGTGAAGTCAGACTCCACCACTCCCCCATTTGATTAAGCACTGTGGCTTATACCCTAGAACTCCTTTTAAACCTGTCCCCGTTTCTCAATAAGGTCTGCCACTGTCTTAGTTTGAGTCCTCATTATTTCTTACCTGGACTGTTGCTACAACTTCCTAACCTATTTCCCCACCTCCCCTTGCTTTTCTCCAATCCATAATCTCTCTCCTGAAACCAATGACACTCCTGATATATACATTATGTGACTCTTTTAAAACATCTCTAGTGGCTCTTTCCCTGCTGCCTATAGAATGAAGCTCAGTGGTGGTGTTGTATGTTTGTTTTTAGCATGGCCCTATGCTCTGCATTGCAACCTGATTTTCCAGTCTCATTTGCCTTCACTCCCTAGGGGGCCAAATGTGCCCACGTTGCAAACTGCCCAACTCGGGCAGACTATGTGGTTTCTCTAATGCCTTTGTGAGGTGTCGCTTTGGCTGAACTGTGTTGTCCTTTGTGTATCCGACTCACTCTTCACACCTATTGGCATCATATGAGCTCTTTGGTCAAATACATGTAATTAAATGAATATTTTCTACAATTTTATCAGATAGAGAAGGGAAGAGAATGAAAGAGGGACAAGTCAAATATGATTTTGTTATATGGCTTTTTAAGGTTAAATTGTTTGTTTGCTGAATAAGTCAAAGGACAAAATGGGGATTGTAGCACTTTAAATCACATAGCTTAACTCAGATTAAATATGCACATGAACATAGAGGAAGAATACCCCTGTGTTAAGTGCTTGGGAGAAGTATTATGTTAGGCCACATCACCCAGTAATCCCTTCACTTCATGAAAGACAAATTAGTATCTTATTGCCCATTGAGACCAACAGTGTCTAACATCTTGCTTCCTTACTTGGCTCATTATTATGTTGAAGCAATGATCAAGTGCATGGGCTTTGAAATAAAAAGCATCTGGATCAAAATTTGGATTCCATCACTCACTCACTTTGAGTGAGTTAACCTCTCTGAGCTTCTGTGTTCTCATCACCAATACAGGGATAGTAAAACCTACTTTGTAGAGTTGGAGTGAAAACTTATGAAACTTTTGTATGAACTGTGCTTAGCACACATATTCAATGAATGGGAGTGGCTAGAATATATCTTTCACAGTATATGTAATATGGCCAACATGTATAGTTACTTTCTTCGGCTATACTCAGAGTGGTGCAATGAGCAACATCCAGAGGGAGTCTGATGTGTACAAACTCTACTTGCCATTTTGGGATTGTCCAGAGCTGTAGGTCTGGGCTACTGTCTTCTCCAGTAATGAGATAATTCATATTAAAATAATTTGAACACTGTGTTTTCAATTTTTTTCTTGCTAGAGAAATTATTTTCTTTTTGAGAGTTATCTGAGTGAAAGATATCTTCTATTTTATCACAACAGACGATAACTGAGTTTTCAGCTCTATTTTTAATTTTTTGTTCTCATTTTATAAAAAAATGAGTCACTAAGAATATTAATTTTAAATAAGAGGTGGCAATTATTCACTTGTTAGAAAGTAGAGAGGTTCATGAAAATATAAAGGCTGGGAATTTTTAAAGATAACTCCATCTCTGTATTTTTTTGGAGGAAATGATTTTTGTCTTTTCCAAACAATGACGCTTAACACAATCGAAAGTTGGCACATTTTTGGTAAACAGTGTTTTCCTGGTAGTGTGAAGTCTACTGTGTATTTCTTTTGAACCAGACTTCTTAGTATCATTTTGATCTGTGAAACATCAAAGTTTCCTCTATGGTATTATATTTACATCTTTGGAGTGTCTGGAAAATAATTCTTATTTTAAAGAGCAATAAACAATACAGAAATGTCAAAATCTTTATTGTGATATTTGGGATTATGACTGGCTATGGGAAAAAGCAAAAGCAGATTCCACATAAAAGACATTTAACATAAAATGGTTGACTTTGATATCACCAGAAGATATTTCTCAGACATTTTAAAAAGTAAAAAGCTAAAAATGGTAACAAACAAAAAAATTCCCAAATTTGGATTTTTTTCTTTTCTTTTTTTCTTTTTTTTCTGTCACCCAGGCTATAGCACAGTGGTACAATCATAGCTCACTGTAGTCTCAAGCTCCTAGACTCAAGTGATCCTTCTACCTCAGCCTCTTAAGTAGCAGGGCAACAGGCACATACCATTACCAAGTGGCTACAGTAATTTTAAAAACTTTTTTTAAGATACAGAGTCTTGCTATGTTGCCCAGGCTGGTCTTGAACTCCTGGCCTCAAGCAATCCTGCAGCCTTGGCCTCCTGAATAGCTGGGACTGCAGGTGCAAGCCACCATGCCTGGCCTAATTTCTAAATTATGTAGCTAAAGAGAAAATTTAAAACCTCAACCATCCATTAGTGCAAAAATTATTTTCATTACTATTGTGGCGATTCCTAAAAGCTCTAAAAATTGACCTTCCATATGACCCTGCAATCCCCCTACTGGGAATATACCCTGAAGAACACAAATCACTCTATAAAAAAGATACCTGCACACGTATGTTTATCACAGCGTTGTTCACAATAGCAAGAACCTGGAAGCAACCATGCTGCCCATCAAAAGAGGTCTGGATTAAAAAAATGTGGTACATATACACAATGGATTACTACGCAGCCATAAAAAAGAACAAAATCATGAATTTCGCAGTAACCTGGATGGAACTAGAGTCTATAATACTGAGTGACCTCTCACAGAAACAAAGATCCGAATATCACATGTTCTCACTCATATAATGGACCTTGAACATCCAATGTAATACTATAAGAAAATGACTGACGGTACTGGGAAACTATGGGGGGGAGGGGGATGGGATTAACAGTAGCAAATATCTGTCGGGGGATGGGAAAACACCTCTTATCAACAGGGTGCCTGAATGAAACGTAATTGTACACCTAAACCTTAACTGTACCCCACAAAACCATAATAAAAAATACTGATTGATTAAAAAAAAAAAAAAAAAAGAATTGTAAAAAAAAAAAAATTCTAGTTTTCAACAGATCTACTTGGGTCTCCTGTGAAGACTGTGAAATCTGAGAATGGCACTAACAGGTTAGTTCCAAGGATGGTTGTTGCCCTTCATAAAGAAGGAACAAGATGAGTTCTATTCCTTTGCAGACACAGAATGGAGAGCTTTGAGCATCAGCAGTGAACTAACTCTATATCACTTTGAGGTATATATTCGAATGACACAGCAGTCCTGGCAGAATGACATCCTTGGTTTTGAGATGGAAGAGACAAGCAAGCACCTCCTGAGGCTGTGCCATATTCTCAATTGCTCATTTCATCCCTACTGATCCCTTTAGAATGTGCCACATAGAGAATGCTTTCTAACTAACCAAAAAGCTTCTGTCCTGATAAAACCCTGATTCAAGAACAAGTTAAAGCACTAATGACACATTTCTGACTATTTCTGTAAAAGTGAGCAAATATCAGAACACATAAGATTCAAAGGTTAAAATGATCAAGAGAACAAAAACTATAATTTATCTCACATAGTTACTACAACTTATTCTGTAATCTTTATGAGATATCGTTTCAAGTATCTTTTGTTGAGTACTACTAATTCATTAAGACATTTGCAACACTGACAAGTAATGCTTTCTGCGGAAAATACAATTGAATTGTTTTGAAACATTTGTATCCTTATATATATGAATAATTACATAATGACAGTGCTTTTTTTCTATGCTGCCTTTATATAATTTTATTTATAACAGAAGAAATAGCATTTGTAAGGGCATAAATGCAATTTTAAAAATATTTATATTGTGGCAATTTATTCTGAAAGTTGTCATTCAAACCAAAGGAGTAATGTGCTCTGCTCAGATTTATGAAATAATGCTAAATCCTGTATGAGGTTATTCATAGTGTGTGATAATTAAAAAACACAGAACCCCAACTCTGCTTTATCTATAATCATTTCTAATATTTTTATTTGCACTTCCTTCAATTCTGTCAGTGTGGCGTATTTCATTAGACTTTTGAAAAAACTTTTAGTTTTACCTTCGTTTTATATTTCATTAATTACTGTTTTATTCTTTATTATTCCTTCATTCTTCCTTTGTTTTTATTTTGTAGTTCTTTTACAAAGTCAGTTGCTTATTCAGATCTTTAATTTTTTATAATCAAGTATTTCCCTCTATGAACACTTTTAGTAGTGTCTCCCAAGATTTGATATATAGTACTTTCATCATTTTGATCTATGAGTTGTGTGATTGTAAAATTTCAAAGTGTATTTTTCATTTGATCTTTCAGTTATTTATTTCTAAATTAATTGCACTGTGCTCAAAGTACATACTTACAGTATAGCTATTCTTTGAAATTTGCCAAGACTTGCTATATGGTCTTAGTATTGTCACTTTTCATAATATCTCATGTTTTGAAACTTTGTATCATAAGATTGTTGATTGGAAGGTTCTATATAGGTTCATTAAATCAAATTTGTTAATTTGAAAAAAATTTTATGTAAAACTTTTCAAAATTTTTATTAGTGTGTGTCCGCTTAAGATAACAAATACGAATGTCGTCTTTTTGTTGAGTTTTCTCTCAGTATGCTGGTGATTTATTAATTCCTTCTATACTTCTGTCCATTAATGCTTGAGATACTCAGGGGAGGAGGATGTGTTATGCATTTACAAGTTTAGAATTTTATCTTATTTGTGAATTTAACCTTTTAGTGTTACGTATTGACATTCCTTTTCTCCAGTAACAATTGTTTTGATTGAAAATCAGTTTTATCTGATATACAACTTTCTTTGGTTAGTATTAGCTTGGTGTATTTTTTTCATTCTTTTTAAAAAAAATATTTCTGTGTCCTCTGGTAGACAGTATATAACTAAATTTATTTAGTCAGCTGGTAATCTTTGGTATTTAATTAGCGAGTTATTTGTTTATATTTAGCATGATTAATACTTCATTTGATTTTTTTTCTATCTTCCAAGGATAGCAATTCTGGTATGTTTTGCTTACTATTATATCCCTGACAACTAGAATAATACCTGTCACATTGTAAGTGCTCAAAAATTACTTGGAGTATGAATGAATAATTTTAAAAAATTTCTGACTATAAATTAGGGTGATAATTCATGGTCCCTTATTTTCTTACTGAGATATGTGGGTACAAATTAGACGTGTATATTGCAAGTATATTGACTTGCCTGAAAGAAAGTTGACGTTTATAGAATAATACCGATTTTTTTTGGACATATAAAGTGACTTAACCTTTAAATGTTTCAAAGCTTCCATACTAAACAAATCTGCTATCAGTCCATGGCAATTTTACTTCTACAATATTTCCCCTATAGTAGTGGAAGATATATAACATTCAAAGCTTGACTAAAGGCCATACCTCATTTTTTTCTTTTAGTTTTGTGATCATAACAATCACGGGGCTGTCTTCCTGCCAAACCATCTGCCAGAAGTCATTCACGGTGTTGATCATGGGTCCCTGTGTGGCAATGAACGCTTTCTCCTTGCCACTGTAGCCCTAGTTGGAATAAAGAGACACAAAGATTGGCTTTAAGTTCATGCCTTGCAGTGAAAGATTTTCAGAACATGGTAGTTGTGCAAATCCAAAAGCAACACAGACTATGGCAGCTCCACGGATTCTACCACCACAATTCCACGGCTGCTTTTCTAGCAAGTTAAGCATAGCATACAGTATTGAGAGTTGCCCAGTGCCCAACAGAATGCCCATATAAAACACTGTCATCAAGGACTCAGTGAAGAAAGACTCAGTGAATAAAGAACCGATTGCTGGCTAGGCACAGTGGTTCACACCTGCAACTCCAGTATTTTGGGAGACTGAGGCAAGAGGATTGCTTGAGGCCAGGAGTTTGAGACCAGCCTAGGCAACATAGCAAGACCTCGTTTCTACAAAAAAAAAACAACAAAAATTAGCTGGGCTTGGTGGTGTGTGCCTGTGGTTCCAGCTACTGTGGAGACTGAGGTGGGAGTTTGAGGCTGTGGTGAGCTATGATGGCGCCACTGCACTCCACCCTGTGTGACAGAGTAAGACCCTGATTCAAAATAATTAAAGACATAAATAAATAAAGAACCCATTAGCAGTGTTAGGTGTGACTATGACACAAAAAAAATACTTGCTAGTAAATGAGTTAAATCAAACCTAATCTACTCTAAGAAAAAAAAATTAATAATTCCAAATAGTAGGTCACCAGAAAGAAATGTGTATGTATTTACTTACCCTTATATAATTAGCATTAATGTAGGTGCTCAGTGAATCAGTTACATTTTTTGGTCTCAAACATACTCTGCTGAGGGGATCTATTGAAGAAAACAAGAACAAATATATTAAATATATTTACTCTTTTTAAAGCTCCTTAGAACAGCAGTAACCAGTAAGTGAAACACCTGTTATATATTATTTGTCTGTCTTGTGTCAGTGTTTATCTTTGGTACATGTATGCCCATCTCTTGATCCATTTGTGTTTACCAAGGGACATTTGTGTCCATCAAGACTCCTGTTCCTGACATAAGTCTCACCCAGAAGCCTGAGATGATGAGCTTATACTTTCTGTCATTTTTCATGAGTTCTGATTCTTGACCCCATTTCTTATTTCTGCTTCTACTTTTTTACTTTGGATTTGAAATTTGTACCAGGTCTCCCCAACTCCTGTCTCTCTCCTTTCTCCTCAGAGATGAATCAGACTGCACTTTACCAATTATTTGATACTTCACTACCTCATTTCATCTACACCCTCAGGTTCCAACTTGATCTTGCCTCATAGCTTATATCCTGGCCAGTTCCCTCAATTTCCCGTGATGGGTAAGACTGACGTGCTATCGGTGTGAGGATCAAGGGTGGGACAAGTTAGAGAGGTGAAAAGATAAACATTATTTATTTCAGTGAGTTCTCAGCCTGTTCCTAAAATCATAAACAACATGTATTGATTATTAGATGTCAGACTCTGTTCTCCATGTTTTACTATGTTATTTAATCTTCATAAATCTTTAATAAAAGTACCAAAAATAATGGGTACTGCTCTTTCAAATAGGAAATTGAGACAGAGTAAATAATTTGCTTAAAAGTACACAACGAGGAAATAAATAATGGAGTCAGACTTTGAACTCTAACTCTAGAGTACTTTTAGCTACTGTGCTGTGCAGCGTTCCTAATGCTAAAACGGCCACAAACTAACAATGATAATACAGGTTACATCCTAGCGGTTGCTTCGTTTATTTCTTGATAACAGCAAATTCAATGTTTTTCAGCTTTCCTTCTTACAGGAAAGTGGTATAAAGACAGAGGTGCAGCAAAGAACACCCCTTCTTCTTTTATTCCCATCTCTTACAGTAACACACAGTCATCAAGCACCTTCTGGGTAAAGGCGATCTCTTACATTCCCAGGCAAAAACTGAAAAAATCTGAGAGGTGGTGAGGGAGGGAGTACTAAAGAAAGACACTTTTATAGAATATATGTAAGTGGTAGCTAATGATAGTTAAAAATCTAGAAGGTCTTGGCAAATCAATATTTACTTTAAAATTCACTTCATCTGTAACTGGTGTTAAAGATAATAAAGGTTGGCATTACTTTTAGAAAAAAAGACTAACCAGCCCATGGGGACAGTGAGGGTTTAAAACTATAGCCACCAAATTCTTTGACATGCTTTCTAAAAGGAGGTGGTGACTAATTTTCATCCTCTTGAGTGAGCAGAAATTAATGACTCATTTATTTATTTATTTTTGAGTTGGAGTTTTACTCTGTGGCCCAGGCTGGAGTGCAGTGGCACACTCATGGCCACCCAGTGTCGACCTGCTGGGCTCTGGCGATCCTTCTGCCTCAGCCTTCCAAGTAGCTGGAACTACAGGCATGCACTACCACGCCAGCTAATATTTTGATTTATTGGTCTCACCAAGTTGCCTGGACTGGTCTCAAAACTGTGGGCTCAGGCAAACCACTTGCCTCAGCATCCCAAAGTGCTGGGATTACAGGCTGAGCCACTGAGCTTGACTTTTTTAGTTATTTTAAATGGGGTCTTGCTCTGTTGCACAGGTTAGAGTACAGTGGTGAAATCATAGCTCAGTGCAGCCTTGAACTCCTGGCTGAAGTGATGCTCCCGCTTCAGCCTCCTGAGTACCTGGTTAATTTTTAAAAATCTTTTGGTAGAGATGAGGCATTACTATGTTGCCCAGGCAGTCTTGAACTCCTGGCTTCAAGCAACCACCCCACCTCAGCCTCCCAAAGTGCTGGGATACAGGCGTGAGCCACCACACCCAGAAAATGACACACTTTTAAAAATAGAATATGGCAGAAGGGATGGTATGTGATTAGGTCATAAAAGGTATTTCAGTTTCCTTCTTGCTCTTTTTCTTGAGTTGTCTGCTCTGGAGGAAGCCAGCTCCCATGTCTTGAGGGTGCTCAAGCAGCCCTATGAAGAGAGGATTGCATGGTGAGGAACTGAAGCTTCTAGCCAACAGCCATATGAGTGAGCCTAGAACCTTCATTGCCAGCCAAACCATCAGCCCACTGCAGCCCTGGTCAACATCTCAGTAGAAATCTCATGAAAGACCCTGGCCAGAACGACCCAAATAAGCCACTTTCCAACTCGTGGCACACAGAAACTGTGAGATATAAATATGTATTATTTTAAGTCACTAAATTTTGAGATGATTTGTTACAAGCAATGAATAGGTAATATGGAGATCAACAAGGAGGCAGTCACAAAACACTGGAGTGACATCATCATCATTGTGGTCACTGCATTCTCTGCTCCGTATGTGCCAGAGATGGAGCAGCTAACAGCATTCTATGCATTATGTCACATAGTCGCCATAATTCTATAAAGTACATACTATTAATATTCTCTTTATTTAAATTAGGCAATGGATGCACAGAGAGGTTAAGTAACTCACTCAAGGTCACACAGTTAGTAAAAAGTGAAATAGAGTGTTGAATTCAGTTTATCAGACTTAGAGCTTAGCAAGGTCATTGTCAAAGAAGATCTTAAAACATATAGTAGAATCTTGCTCATTAGTCACTAGGATATTTGAGATGAAGCTATTGTATATATCTCAGTAGTAATAGGCGCTTCCATCTGGAGATGGATAAAGCTGATTTGATCTATAAGGAATTTGGTTTTGACAAGAGAAAGCCCCAGTATGCTCGAAGATTTACATTGATATATGAAGACCGATGCTTATCTGTTTTTTATAAGTTACAGGTAAAATAGCCCTTGGTCATGCCAGATGGAAGCAATAATAGTTCAGAAGATGTCAATACATCCTAGAAATCAGTGAGAAGCCCTCAGTGGCTTCCAAGAATCCTATTTATAGAGGCAGGTCTTCATTCAGTTTGATCCAAAACTCTTTGCAAAAGTTCCTGTTGTGTCCTTCTGGATGAACTAAAAGAAGCAAGAAGACTACAGAGATACTTAGAGTGGAGCAGGTAAGAACAATTTAGTCAGGACATAACCTGACTGTGAATGAGAAACTGTGGTCTTAACTGTCTTGGGATGTGGGTCTTGACTTCTTATCAGAATTCTCCCTGAAGAGATATGTTGGGACAAGACATAAGACTCTCCTTCTTACCATTCCTGGTATTAGTTGTGACTGTGTGACTAAGTTCTCACTGTGACATGTGAGAGGAAGGGATGTGAGTGACTTTTAGATCATGAGAATAAAAGTCTGGTTCTGAAGCAAACTGCCTTATTGGTAGCATAGACTAGACCCCTGGGAACATGTCCAAAGTCAGTCTTGCCATATGGAGCTTTCAAAACGTAAACCCTATGGAAATGGAAGCTGACACCAAATGGTCAAAAGCACTTCATTTCCCCCCAAATCTCCTAAAGTCATAACAGGTCTCTACATGAGCTGTTGGTCCTCATTTGCAGAGGACATCTTTAATTTAAAAAAAAAAAAAAAAACTTGTACCAAATTTTGCATTCATAATGTTGGTATTCATTTTTTTTTTTTTCAAAGAGTGCCCTCCTGGGAAAATCTTCATGACATGGTATGGGCAGAGAGTTCATGGATATAACCTTGAAAACACAAGCAAGGAAAGCAAAGATAGACACAGGGGATTGCATCAAATTTAAGAGCTTCTGCACAACAAAGGAAACAACAGAGTGAAGAGACAACCCACAGATTAGTTGAAAATATTTGTAAATCACACAATGAGTAAAGGGCTTAATTAAAAATATATAAATAATTCAAAACTACTCATGAGCAAAAACCCAATAACTCTATTAAAATATGAACAAAGACCTGAATAGACATTTCTTAAAAAAAGACATACTAATGGCCAACAAAAACTTGAACAAAAATTCCTCACATCTTTAATCACTGGATAAATGTAAATTAAGCCACAGTATTATGTTGTGTTGGATTGGTTATTATAAAAAAGGTGAAAGATAACAAGTGTTGGCAAAGATGAAAAGAAAAGGAAACCTTTGTACACTGTTGGTGGTAGTGCAAATTAGCACAGCCATTTTGCAAAACAGTATAAACGGTCCTCATAAAACTAAAAAAATAATTATCATCTGATCCAGCAATTCCACTTCTGGGTGTATATCCAAAGAAATTTGAAATCAGAATGTTGAAGAGATGTCTGCACTCCCATGATCACTGCAACATTATTCATAATAGCCAAGATATAGAAACAGCCAAGTGTCCAACAACAGATGAATGCATTTAAAAAAGGTAGTATATATACACAATGAAATATTATTCAGTCTTTACAAAGCATAAAACTCTGTCACTTGTGACAACATAGGTAAACCTAGAAGACATTATGCTAAATGAAATGAGCCAGATGCAGAGAGACAACTACTACTTGATTTTACTTATAAGTGGGTTCTAAAAATGTTGAACTCATCGACGTAGTGAGTAGAATGGTGGTTACCAGTGGCTAGGGAACAGGATGGATGAGGAAAGGGAGATGTTGGTCAGAGGTACAAAGTTTCAGTTAGACAGGAGGAATAGACTACTGATCTATTACATAGTAGGGCGACTATAGCTAATAATAATATATTGTATATTTCACAATAGCTAAAAGAACACATTTTAACTGGACACAGTGACTCCTGCCTGTAATCCCAGCACTTTGGGAGGCAGACGCGAGAGAACTGCCTGGGCCCAGGAGTTCAAGACCAGCCTGGGCAACTTGATGAGACTTTGTCTCGACAATAAATCAAAAAATTGCTGGGTATAGTTCCAGCTATACCCAATCCTTCCAGGGGGAAGGATTGCCTGAGCCCAGCAGGTTGAGGCTGTGGTAGCCATGAGTGTGCCACTGCATTCTAGCCTGAGTGACAGAGTGAGACCC